TTAAATTATAACAAATTGTTTAAACAAATACTTTTCGTTTAGGCACACAAGATTTTTTTGTTTTTTCTTTGCGTTAATATTTGTGTTTGTTTAGTAACTTTCGGTGGCTACAAGTTTTTTCTTTTTTTTTTTTTGCTCGCGTTTTGCGTCTCACGCCGGCGACAAGTTTTTGTTTACTGAATTCAAAACCGAAAAACCGATTTTTACACAAAATCCAAAAAAAATACACGACCAGCGGCAGCGTTGGCGGTGGCGGCTGTGCGCTCTGTCGGCGGCAGCAATAAAATTATTTTCAAAAATACATTTTTCCTGCGTTTCTCCTCTCTTTAGTTTTTGGGAAGACAGCAAAACGTCGACGACGACAGCGGCGAGAAGCAAAATTTACACACACGACCGGAGCCGAAGGTATATTTTGTTCATTTTTTTTTTTTTATTTTGTGGAGCAAACGAACAACGTTGAACGATAACAAGCTAAGAAAAAAAAGAGTCCAAAGAAGCAAACAAATAACAACAAAAAATAGCAAAACACAGAGTAGATTACATCAAAAGCTCCGTTCTGAGCGTTCACTCTTATCAGGTAGAATATCCTATCTAATCGCAGTCTGATTATTAGCATTGAGTGATAGGTGGCCACGCCCGCTTTGGAGGAATATATTCATAGTATATTTATACAAATATATTTATATGTTTATAACAAATAGAGAGAGAACTGAAAACAAGCTATAGACATGGAGATAAAGAGAGAAACAGCTGTGGGATTTGTTGAGGGATTTTAGCTGTGAAGACTTGGCGCAAAAATAAAACCAATAATCGCATGATTGAAAGGCAATCATCATCAATTATAGCATTTGACCAGCCAGAGTGATGTGCGATTGGTTTTTGCTTTTGAATTTTAAAACAATGATTTTTTTGTACAAGTAGGTAAAAGTATTTCAAAGCCATCAAATATAAAATAAAGAAAGGAATTTTGATATTTAAAATACGAATTTTGGTTAACAGCTGATTGGTTTTGGCTTAGGGCAATGTTTTCTTTGTATATATAGAAATATTAAAAAGTTATGTTTAATATATAATACAAATTAGGATATTTAACAATATTTAATTGCCTAACTGAGCAGCTTGGCTAATATTTAGCATTTCATGATATTTTTTAGGCGAGGAACTAATTCTTAATATCTTCTTTTATAGTTTCCCAGCTTAGTTTATTTATATACAGTATTTTTTAAAATGTCTCAAACAAAACTGTATATACAAATTTGAAACCTTATATTGTCAAATTAAAAACCTTTTTCAATAACTTTAAAATTTTATATTCCATTTCTATATTTCAAAAGACCAGCCGCTATCTTTGTGTTATCAACAAGTCAAAGAAAAGGTATTTACGAGCTTAAACATTTAAAAATCAAGCTTAAATGTTCAATATGTAAATGAGACTGATAAGAACCCAAAGACCCAAAATTAAAGACTTACTAAGAAGAACAAAGAATAGCTGATATCAAAAGTTATAAGAGCTCAGAAATGTCTAGAACCTTAAGGCACCTCAAACTTGTTATAAACTCTAGAAAAAACCCCACTGATTATCCCATATCCTATAGTTATTCCTAACCAAATTACAATACTTTAAAATCCCCCTCACAACACCTAATCAAATCAATCCGATATAACCCAATCCCAACCTCTGTAGTAAATCTGCACTGACGTCACACTGAACAAATAAGCAACTATCAAATGACAGGAAAAGCGTGTGTGTGCAGCGCTTTGATTATAAGCCACTCGACTAATGAACTCTAGTTAAATAAATATGAAAATGCGAAAATCAAAGCAAATAACAGAAAGAGTAATCAACATGTTATATGAAACACGACTTATCGAGTGTTCTACGTAAATGCAAAAAAATAAACACACAATTTAAAGGGAAATTATGAATCGAGGAATGAAATTAGATTTCATAAGCGGTAAATTGCAGGAAGAAAAGCATCAAGAAAATCCGATGAAAGACAAGAAATTGCGACAAGTGTCGAGTTAGCGTGAAATTTATAGCCAACAACAGGCCGCGCCTGAGTGAAAGAAAAAGCCAAAAGGAAAAATTGAATGGGGAAAAAGCGAGGCAAAGGCGAAAAATGTATAGCAAACGATTCAGATTCAGTTTTGCTTTCTGATTTAAGCAAATTACAGCAGCTGGCCACCTGCGCGTATACGTAATGTGTATTTATTGCCTCATTAGAGTTGAGCGCAAATGTTAAAGCGGCAAAAATAGTTTGTAGCCAAAGCGAATTTATGCTTGGCATATTTTTTTTTATTTTTTCCCCCCAACTGAAACATCACCCACCACTTATCGGGGATCGGGGGATTGGTATATCTTTTTGTATATATATAATATAGGTAAACACAGACGTAAACACATCTAATTAGCGTTTAATTGCAATTCGGTTGAAAGTCGACATTGCGACATGGGCAGCTGTCAGTTCAAAACGTTTCTCATCAAGGAACTCGAAGTCTTATCTGGTTTGCGATAATCTATATAGCTATACTAGAAGTCGGCTGATAAGCTGGGAATGTTGGGCATAACTTAGTCATTTGATATATATTTGGACTATTAGTCATTGTAATGCGACAGAACCCCGGATACAGGAAATCCTTTGCTGTATTTTGAAAAATAATTTATAGTTCAGATTTCATTGCTTAAGAACTTTTGATTTAATGAATATCACATAACGAAAAAGGTAATTTATTATATTCATTTCTTATTAAGTTTATGTTTAAGTTCTATAAAAACTATCTCAGCTTGATCTTTAAAATCTGTGAAATGATGTCAACCCTTTTCATAAAATATAAATATTTATTATTGCTTTTTAGACACCTAAGTTCACCCCTTTTTTTTGTTGCTAATCGATGTGGTTAACCAGGTGTTGCAGTCACGTATCTCTGAGTTTCTACTGTTTTTACAGCACTTACAGCGCTACAGTGTAAATATTTGGCATGGCGTATTTTTTCTTTTTAATTAACAGTCAATATTCCGAGCACAGAGCTCCTCCGACTCGGGCCAGAGTCTTAAACTCTGATGTTCTTATGGAACCATATCAAGTTGTGCAAACACTTAAATACCCCGCAATGCAGACTGACAGGAAACTTAAATGGTTTTGTGTCGAGGGATTACTAACCAGGAGTTGAGGGAGCCAATGTGCGGATGGGTCAATAAATTCCAGTTGTAGCAAAAATATTTGTAATTGAATACGATAAAGAAGTTAACATGGGCATAAATATAAGGCATACAAAGAAAAAATAAGAGGGATAATTGTAATTACAAAATTGTAAAGGATATTTAGTAAGAATTAAGTGAAAACCTTACATTTTTATATCCTTTGCAAGGGTGATTAATTTCAGAAAGATGCTTGAAACAGTGTGAAGGCGCCATTTCCGACCCTATTAATCATATATATCATCAAAAGCTGAATCGATCTAGCCATCTCCGGCAGAAAAATAAATTTTGAAAAATTTTCAATTTGTTATGCGATTTTAAAACTATGATTTATCGAAAAAAAAATCCACATACAAATATAACAAAATATTGATATAGGTGCGAATATTTTAAGTTTAGTTATGAGCGATATGCCCTGAGATGCTAAAAATCAAATGAAATCTGCGATGATATATAAACTTTGCCTTCCCAAATTTACTTTCCTTGTTTATTTTAATTAAAACCCAAAACCCCATTAAAATATTCGATAAAACTTTTTACACATTTTGACACTGACAAAACACCACCCTCAATGTTTTTAGTCGCAACCCTCGTTCGCATTATTAACCGTTACACGTTCCTGTTCCTAATTAACCCCTTGATACAATTATTCCAACCCATTTAACTTACTGTCTTTGGTGGTAATTACATAGTTGAAATGGAAACGCTTACCTGCAATGAAAATACAAAAATAAATATCAATTAATTAATTGTAATCCAATTTCCAATCAATTTTCAAGTACTTATGCCTAGGTAAATAATTAACTTTAAACTGATTGAAAGCGTGCTGTCAATTCCGATATTCGGAAACGACGACGCAATATATAGCAACAATGAAGAGAAGAAAATAAAATAAATCGCTACGAATTCGAATATATGTATGTGTTTATATGCTGATTTAATTAATTGTCGTAATCAGGTATAGCAACAATTTTAATGTACGGTTGTCTGTAAAAATACATTTTGCAGCAATTTTAAAGAGCTTCCTGCCAAAAGACGTCACACGAGTGCAATTTGTTGGCCAAAACTGACTAAATGAAAAGGAAAATTGCATCTCTTTTCGTGGTTAGCCAATTTTGGCAATCGCTGTGCGATTTCTGCCACCAACCGAGTGGGTGTTGATGGCCAAAAATCTGACAATATATATGTATATATGTATATATTTAAATCACATGTCGTCTCGGAATATTCCTTTGTCAGGCTGTTGGCAGGTGGACGACAAACCGCACACGAGTATGACTCAAATATTGGATGGGTTTGTCCCTATAATAGAAGCACACTCTGCCCAATTTGACAATTATCGCCCAACTATGAAAGGAAGGAGGTTGTATCCATCTAAAATATATATGGTGTGGGCCCAAAAGACAGATAATTGATTTCAAAGAATTTTAATGAAAACAAAAAACTTATTCCACCGCAGTGCCAATTTAATTCTAGGAATATTACATATAGAATAAATTCAGTTTTTTTCGAGCTAAAAAGGTTTGCGTGATATTTAATTTGAAAGCCATTTAGGTGATTCCATTTAATCAGATATAGATGGGAGCAAGTTGTAAAACATTTCTGTTGAAAAGTGAATTTAATAATCATGAAACTGTCAGTTGATCAAAGAGTGAAAACATTCATTAACGAAATGAATTATTTATTTCAAAATTCAAGCTAATTAGCAAGGGAAAAACTATAGATAATACCAAGAAAAATTTAATAAAATAATGCTCATATATCCATGTCAGTTTGGAACAAAATAGGAAAATATACTCAAATAAAAGTGCCACAATTTATTAACTGCAAATTTCAATCTTTACTTGATCATAATTTTGTTTTATAAACAATTAGATGTTTTATATATTATTTTGAGACAATCAATTCTCCTGAATTGGTATTTCATTCTTATCGATTGCTGAACCAAGCAATTTCTCCAAATTATTATCTTTTGATGTTTTCTGATTAATTAAATCGTTTCCCTCTAAAGGTTTGCCGCTATCATAGGATTTTTCAGGGTGTTGCTGGACCAGGGAATTTCCACTTTCATCGATTAAGAAACCAACTCGCTTGTAGTTCGTCTCTAGGATTTCCCCCCAACGTTCCACATAGTTGATTTCCGTATGATGAACGTTCATAATCCGCCTTAGATATTGGGTAAAATCATTGCCAGCCACATGGCTTAGAGTTCCACCCACACCGAACTCTAAAACATCGCTGGATACATCGTAAATTAGACCTTTGAGAGCCACCAATATCCTGCCATCACTTCGAGTTCCATCATAATCCAGCAACTCATTTACTGTTAGCCTGATATCCTTCAGTTCTGGCAGCTGAAAGGGCGTAGGGATTAAAGGACTAACTAGTTCCTTTCGCTTGGTCCAGTGATCATAAATGCCGTAGAAATAACCAAAGGCCGGAATACATAAAATCAACAGACAGATGATAAAAGTTTTCAAGTCTATCAATTCCTCAAACATTTTTAATATAAAAAGATTTTGTTGTGCCGAAAGAGTAATAAATGGAATTTTTAACCAAATTCTAACTAAAATGTAATATATGAGTTCATTGAAATTTGTAATAAAACTATCTCAAGGCTTACTTTAGGTTCTAGATTTTAAGATATTTTTGTGGTCTGTGAAACCCTTTGCTATCTGTATTCCTACTGTTAATTACTAATTAATTACTCCTCCAATTCTATATATATTTCTCGTTTTTCCTTTCTCATTTTCCTCATTGTATCTGCTAATATTTGGTGTGATAACAAAAGTTGATTCTGCGTTTTGGGGGACACATATCAAGTGGCTGCCTTCGGCTGTGTGGCTGTTATCAAATTGCCAGAGACTCGCTGGCAGGGCAAGCAGGCAGGTGATAGTGTCAGCAAGTGTATCAGGAGCACAGAAACTGGAGCAGAGCGCCGAGAATCGAGAGTCGGGCAGTCAGCACAAAAGCAGGTTGAACGAACATTTTTTCTTATATTATCAGTTGATTAAATATGAATTATATGAACAAATAAAGGCACAAACACACACGACTACAAGCACACATTGAATTGCTACAACTGTGTCTGTGTGTGTGTATTATGAAAACGATAAGCGCCAGAAGGGAAAAAATAACAACAAAATAAATACTCAGATATTGGGTGCCCCTAAGTGTAGATTTTGTATAAGTTAATAATAAAAAAAAACTAGATTATAAAGTCCGTCAGTCAAGTGTTAATCATAATTTGCACTCTTTTCTGAATTAAACTAAATGTAACATAAAATAAACACTGCTAATCAGTTTTCTATCACAACAATAAACAAGTTAATTGACACTTTATTAAATATTATTTGTTTATCTGGAGTTTAGTTTTTTTTATTATTAAATTGTTTAGGTTTATTGAATGAAATTAAATAATAGGTTAGTTTAATTATAACTGATATATCTATAGGATAATGTATACAATTTCCCCATCAAAACTATAATTGTTTAAAGGTATATTATATTATATAGGGTTAACTGTTATTATAATGGTTATTTTAAAGGTTTATCCAATTAGTATACCAATCATGCAAATTTAAACATGTAATACATACAAAATTATCGACGTTTTGTATATACAAAATTTTCTCTGATATAAAACTCAAATGCAACGAATTTTCAGAAATTAAAAGAAACCATTTTCCATTAAGAACAGCTTGATTTCTTATCAGATTGCCATTCGTATAGATTTTATTTTGTTTGCTCGTTTTTGTTATTATCTGGTTTACTTACCCGATAAAATCTTTGATAAAACAATAAACCTTAAATAAACCGCGATCATTATTGAGCAAATATTCTGGCTGTATAATGGCGGCTGGCATTAGATTGACATTTTTTTGTTGCAATTGTTGCTGTTGGTGTTGTTGGTGATGCATTTGTTGTTGTTGCTGCTGCTGCAGCGTTGTTTCACTGCCGCCCATGTTGTTGTTGCTGCTGCTGCTTGTCGCCATATTGGCAGCCATTTTGTTGGCTAACGCAGCCATTTTGTTGTTAACGCAGCCATCGCTGTTGTTGTTGTTGTTGTTATTGCCGCCATGCTGGCAATAAAACTTATGCTCATGCAATTGTTGCTGTTCTTGTTGTTGTTTTTATGTCGTTTTAGCATTTGTTTTTTTAGTCAATCATTTATAACATTTTTTTTTGCAAACTTTTGTTGCACTTTTCTTTAGCACCTCTATGTATTGCTTTTTTGTAGAACCAGATTTCATTAAAAATTAAATTGAAACTAGGTTTAAATAAATAATATATTTGGTAAGCCAAAACTTATCAATAACTATGGCAGAGATTTATAATTTTCATATATTTTGCAAGGAAATATGACATATTTGTTTTAATTTACTTCCAGCTTTAAGTTTCAAATTTATTTATTATTAATTTACTCAATATTGCCACTATTTGCCTAAAAAGGCAGTCAATTTAATTATGTTTGGTAATAGAAACCCATTTGAAATTTTGTTTCCTCTGCAATAGTTTAACAAAAAAAAAAAACAAAACACAACAATATGCTAATATCAAAAACAAAACAAATGATTTAAATCACAAAAGCAATTGGCGAATTTGTTGTTTTGCTTTCATTTTGAAACTTTGCCAATTTACATTAATTTCTGTTTCAACTGCAATTTGTGTTGTGTGTGTGATTTTTACCCGAGTGTGAGTGTGAGTGTGAGGGTGTGGGTGTTGCGTGTGTCATCATTAAATGCAAAGTTCCAGCATAGAGTAAAGTATTTAATTAACATTCACAGAGCACTGACATGCCACCAGGCATTTTGGTTGCATGCCCCAAAACACACACACACACAGACAACGGAAAAGCCAACTCGAACAAACGGGAGATGAGCGCGCTTACATAACAAACATGAAGCGGATGCGGTAAGCACACTGTGGCATGCAAGAGATGCAGTAACAGAAACATTGGGGTAACTCAAACAATTCGGAGGAGAGAATTCGGTTTTTAAAATTTGATGATTGGTGTTAGGATATTTTTTCCTCCAAATAAATACAGATCTTACAACAAGTAATACATGTTTCAATTCTAATAAATTCCCAATAAAATTTTAGACAAAAACCTTCATTAATGGTTTGATTGAAACTACGTCAGTTTTACTTTTGTATCCCTAAAATCATAAAATATTTAGAATATTTTTCCATAATAAGATACATTTTATTTTGATAAGCAACATATTTGGAACCCCTATCCTTCACCGTTGTCCTCACAATATTATTGTTATTTCCTCAAATGATTGAAAATCCTTGAAACTAAGATGGATACCCCATTTCCGCCATATATGTTGTAGGCATAGAGAGCGAGTCACCCTACTAAAATATTACTCCAGTGAACTGTCAAGTGGCGCAAAACTGTAATATGTTTGTGAGCCATAAAGTTAGTCAGGCACTAGGTCGGTTTTCCATTTTTCTCCATGCCATTTCTTTTTATTTCTTTTTTTTTTTGTCTTGTTTGTGGCAAATGCAACAAATGGCTCCTGTTGACAGTTTAGTTGACAGCTCGGCTAGAAATATGACAGCTCCGGCTGGAGGCACACTTGTTTCTCGGCGAGTGTGGTGTCAACAACTGTCCAGCGTCTTGTTTAAGATGCGATAAGCAAAAATGTGGAGACGGAGCTGTAATGTCTCCCCCGAGAACCATTGCTAAAAGGCCCAGGAAAGAACAAAAAAAATGTGACAAAAATTGATGTGTGTGTTACACACACAAACATTAATTAGCATATTTAATTAACTGAGAACGACAACTGCGACGACGACACTCGACCAAAATTATTTATACATTTTTCGTTTGGGTTGTATCATACATGTTCAGGTATTCTACACAGTCAAGTGGCGAGACCCTAACGATGATGATGTTGCCGCTCGACCCTGACTTTGACTTCCCTTCTACCCACAACACCACAGTCGTCAGTCGCCAGTCGACCTGAAAGCCAGTCACGTACCAAACAGGCATCCCAAGTACATGTACAAGGGTCCAAAACACTTCTAAGCACTTGGCAGAGGACTGGTCCCCCAACACACACAGCATGCCAAGCCAAGGCAAGTATTTTCATCCCAAAGAGTTGGCGGAAAACCTTGAGTTTGCTCTGCCAAAGAACAAGCAGCTCTCATTCACCGCCAGCAACATTTTCCATTCCCATTCACAGGGGCTCCCCCCCCCTAGAAAACACTCAATTGAAACTGACACACGGCGCCCAGCAGGAAACAAAACTCACAAAAAAAATATACCATTTCGCCTTGAAAATGTTTTCATAATGAAACACAACACACATAAAAAAATAATGCCAAGATAGGTATGAAAAATCTGTGTTGTGTTTTTTGAAAATGAACTGCATGTCCCATTGTAGAGAGCATAATAATAATTCCTAAGATAGTCAGTCAACACACAATGGATATTTCAACGGGCACGTGCTTGGGAAATCTCACGAATGAGATTGGAATGAGCAGGAGGAGTAATGGTAGGCTACTGTGATGGAAGGATGCCCAGTTCATCAGAGAGGCACAGCCTTGAGCTATATTATCTTGGACTTGGAGAAGCACCAACAAAAATATATGATATAAAGTCCAATTTGACAAGGATTTCCTTCAACAAATAACTTAAATTCTTGTGTGCGGTATACAAATTAAATTTCATGTTTACCTTTACAAAACAAAAAGTAATCTCTTAAAATCAATATCTTTTCCAAGATGTAACCCGCCACACATTTTCTCTTTCCCAAATATATATTTCCATAAATAAATTCCATGAATATCGCGCTCTGTGTTCTGCCAAGCGCTCAATAAAAATCATTTAAGCATGAAATTTATGCACATCATAGAACAATGTCAACACATCTTCTTACTGCTTTTCTCTCAATAGTTATTTGTAGATTGTAACTTTATTTTTTAAAGCGGATTTTAAGCGCAACTTTACGCAGTGTAAAATTGCGAAAAATGGCATTATGCAAAGTATCTATCGTCACGCGTCATTGAGCTATGGAAAACAATGGAGAAAGAACTGCAGGCAGAGGCAAAAGGACTCGTCAACTTTCGGAAAAAAGCGCATTACGGGCCTGGTTGGAGGGGACGCACAGTACAACAAAAAATATACAACGAAATCGTTTTTATTATACATTTTTTTTTTGCACATAAGACCCGACCTTGACCTGAAAAATTGCGCCAGTGCGCTCTCAGTCGCTCTCTGGCTTCGCCATCTGCATGTGAATGGGCCAGCAGAAATATACGAAACCTGAACATGTTGTTATTTGAGTTTAGTTTCTGTTCGGTTCTTTGTTGCACCCACTTTGCACACAGATAGAGATACGGATACAGATACAGATACAGCCGGAGCACAGCAGCAGCAGCAGCTTCAAAGATACACAGATACATAGATACAGTTGCAGCATGCTTGCAGTTATTGTGTGGGTTGCAAATGTGGGTCGCGGCCCGAAGCTTCACTATGCCGTGCTTGCTTTGCTCCCCTTCCATTTTTCCCTCTTCTCATTTTTTTCTTGTAATAAATTTTCATGACTTTTCCTCAACTTTGCTTGGCTTTTGTGGCATCATCTCACAGCTGT